CCCTCGGGACTTCCCTGAGGACACACGCCTTCTCGACCTGCGCCGAAACCGCTTCAGGACAGTGCCACCGGATGCCTTCCCTGGCCTGAAGGAGCTGGTGTCACTCCACCTGCAGAGCTGCAGCATCAGGGAGCTGCAGCCCGGGGCGCTCCAGGGCCTGGAGAGCCTGGTCTACCTGTACCTCACCGACAACCACCTCTCCACCCTGGAGGCTGCTGCCTTTGAGGGGGCCCCGCAGCTGGCCTACCTCAATCTGGACCACAACGCCTTCACCCGTGTGCCTGCGGGCACCTTCTGGCTCTTGCCCAACCTCATCTCCCTCCATCTGCAGCACAACGCCATTGGGGAACTGGTGGAGGGTGACCTGGCTGGAGCCAGGGGGCTCCGCTGGCTCTACCTAGCTGGGAATGCCATCAGGCACATTGCCCCAGCTGCCCTGGCTCCCACCAAGATGCTGGAAAAGCTGCAGCTGGAGGGAAACCACTTGTCAGAGGTGCCCACAGCAGCCCTGCGGGGCCTGCCTGCCCTGAGTGAGTTGAAGCTGTCCCGAAACCCCATCAAGCACATGGGGGATGGTGTCTTCCTGCCAGTGGCCTCCAGCCTGCAGCACCTCTACCTGGACAACATGGGCCTGGAGCAGGTGAGTGTCTTATGGGACTCCCAAGGGGCAGTGGCACCACAGGGCATATTACAGGTTTCACTGCCCAGGGCTGGTGGCCACTGTAGGGTCATCCAAACAGACATCCTCGAATTCCCAAGCCTTCAGGAGGTGTTCCATAGTCTAGCTGGGGAGCCAGATTTTTTCAGGCTCATCTGTAGCATTCCCTTGCTTCAACCTTCCTGCTGGCTCCCTTGGGAGAAGCTTATTCCCTCCAGTCCTTAAACACCTAATTTCATTGGAGTCCACACCATTTCCTAAACCACCTCCTTTCCCCAGCTCTGGCCAGATTGTTCTTTCTCTTATTACAGGCTGTCCTGCAGGCCTCTCCATTGCTATTATCCTGAATATTTCCATTCTCTCAAGGAAGTGGTATTAGCAGCACCCTCATAAAAACTGTGTATCTTAACAGCACCCAGGGATCACTCTGAGACCTCCTGCATGTGACCTTCTTTCTAAGACTGAACAAGAGTCTAATGAGTTCCAAAATGTGATTGAAATGGCCTAAATTAATTAACAGTCCCTCCTATTTAAAGCAGCTCTTTTGTGGGGCCACCAGCTTCAGGACAGGTTGTCAGCCCCCCCAAGATGATCAGAGGTGCAGGGGCAGAGATCTGCTCCCCTGCCTTGATCAGCATGCCCCTGATTTATCCTTCTTCCATTGCAGATTTCCCCCCATGCCTTCACTGGCCTCGGTCCCAAGATCAGAAGCCTCTACCTGGAGAGCAATAAAATGAGTAACATACCCGACATGAACAACTTCACAGGGCTGGAGATCCTCAACCTGCAGGATGTGCCTTTCCACTGTGACTGCCAGCTCCTTCTGCTGCACAGGTGAGTGCCACAAGGGGGGAGCAGCCTCAGGGATCTGCTGGGGGGGCAGCTGAACCTCCTATAGTAAAGGCACCAACTCACAGCCCACTGGCCATTTCTGGTCTTTTCCCATGGTGGCGAGATGTAGCACACTTCTGTGTGCAAGGATGGAAGTTGCCTGGGCTTTCTGGGTGTAGGGTAAACAACCACAAGCTGGGGCGGGCAAATACTGAGATATTCAGAGGTCACCCAGGTTACCTGGCCTTACTTTGAAGTGATCATTCACTTATGGGCATAGACTTTTGCTCTTTCTTTCACCCTTCCTCATTTCTTTCCCTGATCTTCTACCACGTTTCCAGGTGGATCAACAAACTCAACCTCTGTGTAGGGGCCACCTGTGGTTCCCCTGCAGAAGCCCAGGGGCTGAAGGTGAAGCTTTCCACCACTTTCCAAACTTGTCCTGGCTGGGGACAAGGTGAGGCTGGGGAAACCAATCCTAACAAGACTAAAGCTGCAAGCAAGTCCAGCAAGAAAAAGAGGTTGGGAAAATCTCCAGCCAGAGGCTTCAGTAAGAGCAGAGCTTAGGGTTTTTTAAGGTGTGTGGGACATGTGCTGGACACAAAAGGGCCATACCTACAGTCTGACTAGAGCAGTTTTACTAGACTTGTCCCCACCATGGAGACATGAATATTGCCCAAGGTGCACAGGAGAGGCTGGTGCCATCAAAACAATGCTGATTTGCCAAAGATGCAGGGTTTGGTTTTGCAAGACACAAAGGTACATTCCATAGAGTCTGCAGCATCCTTTGGTGATGCAAACAATGAAGCCAAATACTTGCTGCTTCTTTCCAAGGCTTCATCCAGCCATGTGAAAAAGCTGCTGTCCAGAAGTTTGGTTTTGTTTTTGAAAGCACTTTCACAGCTGCCAAAATCTTAAAAGAACCCAGAGTGGGACTGCAACCAGCGCCATACATTAAGGTCCTGCACTGGCACAAATCTTATTTTGAAAGCTTAAAAATTATTAGTGAAAATGTTGCCTTAATTCCCAGAAGTTCCTCAGAATTAAAACATATGCACATGGAAGCCCTTTTATTTCCTGCAGAATTCGATCAGTGATCCGTAAGTGATCCCATGATAAACAATGTGCTCAACCTGTTCCCCATGACTGCATAGGTTGGGACCCCAGACCCCAGCAGTCTGCTTAAATTGAAAAGGCTCTGAAAGATAAATGTACAGATAAAGATATGTTTTGACTAACTCGGGATTTTGGTGGCCTGGAAAGCAATATGCAAGCCTTGGGCCTCTTCCTGAAGTTGGTCATAGGGTTTTAGGGTACTGATCATAGACCAAATTTACAGTCCAACTGTTAAAAAAAATAAAAACTCAAACCATGCTCCAAGTCCTCTGCAATTCTGGGTTCAAAAGCATGAAATTACAGAAGCGGACACATAGTGCAGATGAATATCTGGTTTTGAGGCCAGTGCCATGGAGAAGGTTTTGGCTTTTGTGACAATAGTGTGTGCTTTAATGATTGTAACATGTTAGGTGGATAGGATCCACCTGTCTATGATGGGATCCACCTATCTATAAAGGGTAAGAGAATCTTTGGCAGCAGCCTGCCTAATTTGGTGAGATGGGCCTTAAACTAAAGAACTCAGTGTAGGTGAGGTCTGAAGTCCCATGGCTTCCTCTGGGGAGTAGATCACACCCATCAGTGCAGTGAAAGATGCTCCTTGACTGTCCCTCACAGTAAGCATCAAAGAGCTACCACCAAAGATGTTTATGGTTGTGGGTGAATCCTCCTAAACTCCTTCTTGGGCAATCCAATTGCTTGCTTAAACCAGATGTGAGGGGGACAGTTTCAGGTTCTTCCCTGGCAAGCTGTAGGATGGCATGAAAAGGTTAGAGGGACAGGGTGGTCCTGAGTCCCTCTGCAGGTGACTTGAAGAGGTAGTAGACACAGGGGAGCATACTTGGAGTCTTACAGAGGTGAGCCAGGGACTCCTGAGGTAACAGAAGCCAACAGGGATACCAGCAGGGAAATATGTCAAAGGAATTAAGGGGTGTTCCTCTGGGAAGGTGATGCAGCCAACAGCCTGGCCAAGGTGCCTGTACACCAAAGCACACAGAATGGGCAACAAACCAAAGGAGGGGCTGGATACCACCATGCTGCTGGAAAGTTATGACCTCGTTGCCATTACTGAAACTTGGTGGGACAAATTGTGTGACTGGAGTGTGACTATCAATGGCTATGAGCTGTTCAGGACACAGAAAGGAGGGAGAGGTGGAGGGGTTGCCCTCTATGTCAAGAGGTGCATTGAGTGTGAAGAGTTGTCTCTGAAGAACAGCCATAAGCAGGCTGAAATACTGTGGGTAAAAATCAGACACTGAGGTAACAAAAGGAACCCTGAGGCCGGGGTCTGCTACAGCTGCCTGACCAAGGGGAGCCCATTGACAAAGCCTTCGCCCCAGGCACAGGAGGCGTCGTGCTCACATGCTCCAGTCCTGCTGGGGGACTTCAGCCACCTTGACAGCTACTGGGAAAGCACCAGGGTAACTGCAGGCAATCCAGGAGACTCCTGCAATGCATGGAAGATAGCTTCTTGAGCCAGCTGGACTTCTGTAAAGCTTTTGACACAGACCCCCACAACTATTCCCTCCAAACTGGAGTGATGGGTTCCATGAGTGGACTGTTTGGTGGATTAGGAATTGTTTTGGTGGTTGCCTGCAGAGGGTAGTGGTCAACAGCTGAGAGTCCCAGTGGGCATCAGTGACCAGTGGTGTCCCTCAGGGGTCTGTACTGGGACCAGTCTGCATTTTCTAATGTCTTAATTACTGACACAGACAAAACGATCAGGTGCACACTCAGCAAGTTTGCAGACAGCACCAAGCTGAGTGGTGCTCTTCACTCACCTGAAGGATGGGATGCCTGCCATAGGGATCTGAACAGACTCAAAAGTGAGCACATGGAAATCTCATGAGGCTTAACAAGACCCAGTGCAAGGTGCTGCACCTGGGTTGGGGCAACCTCCAGTATCAACACAAGCTGGGGAATGAAGGGATCAAGGGCAGTCCTGCCGAGGACTTGGGGTTACAGGTGGATGAGAGGCTGGACATGACCCAGCAATGTGCACTCACAGCACAGAAAGCAAATCAAGTATCAAGAGATGAGTGAAAGCATCAAAAGCAGCATGGCCAGAGTGAGGGAGGGGATTCTCCCCCTCATCTCTGGTGAGACCCCACCTGCAGTGCAGCATCCAGCCCTGAGGTCCTCTGCACAAAAAAGGACATAGACCTGTTGGAGCAAGTCCAGAGGAGGCCACCAAAATGATTAAAGGGATAGAACACCTCTCCTTTGAGGAAATGCTGATAGAATTGGGATTGTTCACTCTGGAAAAGAGAAAGCTTCAAGGTAACCTAACTGCAGTCTCCTGATACCTGAAGGGAACATACAGGCAAGATGAGACGAGACCATTTACAAGAGCATGCAGTGACAGCACGAGGAGGAATGGGTTCAAACTGAAAGACAGTAGTTTAGGTATTAGGAAAAAATTCTTTACTGTGAGGGTGGTGAGGCACTGGAACAGGTTGCCCAGGAAGGTTGTGGATTCTTCATAGCTGGAAGTGTTCAAGGCCAGGTTGGATGGGGGTCTGGGCAACCTGGTCTAGTGGTAGGGGTCCCTGCTCACAGCAGGGGTACTGAAACTAGATGAGGATCTTGAGATCTTTAAGGTCCTCTTCCAACCCAAACCATTCTATGAAAAAAGGTCTCACTTCTTCAGCAGGCATCATCATCTCCTTTTGTTTCTTCGCCTCTTTCCACTCTTCTTGTTCTGATTTTCTTGGGGTTCGCAGCACTTAGACCAGAGAGCACAGCACCAAAGTTCTACAGGGGCAGCTCCTTTCCTGATACGTCCTGCACTTGTCACTTGTCACCTCCAGCCAAAGCTAAGAACTCAAACTGGCCTTTTTGGCTCTGGTAGCCTCTTTCCTTGTTTTGAACTCCTCATCCAAAAGGTGCCTTTAAAATCAGGCATGCACAACTACAGCAGCCACCCTGGTCATGCTCTGCAGCACACCTGCAGTCTTCCTGCCGTTTCCTAGGGCTTAATATTACAAGTCTGGAGGAAATTTTCTTGCACACCAGGAAAGCAGAGTTACAATGCCACAGGATGGTCTGCTTTAAAAAAGGAAGGCCCTTTTGGTCCTGTTTCCCTTTGCCAGGACCTTCCCTAAAGAGCCACAAGGTGAAGCTGCTGTGGCAGCTGTGGAATGTTCCAGATCAGTCTGTGTCCTCCTGCTTTATGCTGCTGATGGGAACAGGAAGCTCTGTCTGTCCAAATTCTGCGTCTGAAGGGTCAATGGTTTCTTCTTTCACCCGCACAGCAATGACTAGCAAGAGATAGAAAGAGAGAGGGGAAAAATAAGTAAATAAAATCAACCCATGTTGACTAGCATTATCTGCAGCACCTCCAAATCAGATCTGTCCATGCAGATACTTAAAATGCCTCAGGCCCTGGGGCCAGCCCACTCCCTGAGGGTACCTCACCACAGGCAGCCTTGTCATGCCACTGCAAAGCTATCCACGGTCATAGCAGCAACCAGGATGGGACTAAACCCTGGCAGCATTCAGTTGCTGGCCCCCAAGAACAACTCCTAAGGGATGATGACATCCAAAGCTGATGTCATCCATTTTCAATCTGCCTGGGCTCACATTTAAGGGGAACTTAAATGAACAGGAGGGACCCTTCATGACTCTCCAATCCACATGTGCACAAGGCACCTCACCTACCCTCCTTCCCCCTACCCGCTAGGGTTGGCAAGTGACCCAGCTGCTCTTCTGGTCACCACAGCATGAGAGGTTGTGTTCACATGCTGCAACAGCCCTGCTGGGGATTGGGATGAGACAGCCACCCCCTGACATATCCACTTCGTCTCTCCTCCCTGATCTCACACAACCAGGCCCTCAGCAGGCATTAGCAGCATTGAGATTTTGAGCAGTACTGGTCCCATCAAACCTTCTCAGGAAGCAAACCTTTCCAGGGAAAGCAAGCGAACACTTTCTTCTACTCTCTGGAGTGTCTCTGGAGGAGTATGGAAGGACATTTGACATGCTGCTGCCTTCTCCTGGCTGGGGGTGCCCATGAATATTGGCCAAGAGGGTGTATGGGGAGAGGTGGATGTGGCTGCAGGGTAGAATAACTCATTCCCTTACTCTCATCAGGTGCTGGCTCTGGCAAAGCCTGGCTGGCAGCTTTTGCTTCTCGTTTTGAGTTCATGGCAGAAGGCTTCTTGACAGGCTGCTTGACACTGCGGGCTTTGGCAGGTAACTTTTTTCCTTAAAGAGATAACAGAGTATGAGCAAAAGTGTATTTCTTTTCCCCTGGAAAATCAGCAACCCTGCTCCTCTGAGAAACCACAGGCCAGGGACCAGCACAACTGAACAGAAAGCTACATGGTCATTAGCTGCCAACTGGTTATGCAACAGAAATGGCCTACTGGAGAAAAATTCTATAGTCATCATCTCAAAATATGCTCCTTCATGTTCTCCTTCATTAAAGGCAAGGCACTTCAGCATGTGTTTAACTTCCAAGGAGCAGGTCCTCTTGGAATCAATGTGGAGTCAGCTTTGCTTACCTGAGTCTAGTCCTAGGCAATGAGCATATTTGCTGCAAGGTGCAGACATTGTAACCATAATGTTCTGGTTTTTAGCTGACCTTTTTACTTAGGTTGAAAATCTTTATATTCTTTGGATGTACTTTCCCCTCCATCCCCCAAGAAGGAATTTCTTGTCTGTCTACATGATTTGCCACAGCTACTGCAACAATGACAACAACAATGACAAGATGAAACAATAAAAGTATTTCTACTGGCCTCCTCAGCCAACTTAAGGCTTTCTTTCCCTCAGCACAAAGCAGGGTTGCTCTCCAGCTACCCTCCAGCTGCAGCAAACATCTCCCTCCAACCATGGACACAGTAGTGAAAGCAGCACAACCTCACACCTGGAAGCAAGTGCCATATATACCTCAGCCAACAGAAAACAGACTGCAAAACAGATCCTTCCCGCACACAGCTCTCTGCTCTTTAGGTAACAGGGCAGGTAAGAAGGGTGAAACTGTGTTGGTAAACCCACAGCCGACTGAGGGCATCCACAGCAAGACAAGGCCTCTCTCTCCTGCTCTGATGGGACATGGACAGGGTTCCTCTAACTGGGCCCAGCCTGCGAGCGAGCGGGAGGGCACTAATCAAACATCACTCACTCTTCTTTCCATAGGGTTTCTTCCTCTTCTTGGGCACCTCCTTGGCCTTCGCTGGAGCTGTGGGCTCTGTCATGGAGACGAGAGGGAAACGAAAGCCAAGTCCCATAACCAGTAGGTAACTGGGATGAAGTGACATAAGCGAGAAACAGATATACCCGTCCCCCCAAGCCAAAGCCCTCTTCCCAAGACAACCAGCTGAGGGGAAAGCAAGGCTCTAGTGCAGTTGCTGTCTGTGCTTCCAGGTGAGGGCCCAGAGCGGCAGGCTGGGGCAGCACAGGGGAGAGAGGCCCAGTATAGACTTGGTAGGGGCAGTAAAGAAACAAGATTTGTAGTTTGAAACAAGAAGGAGAACATCTGCAAAGGTGAGGCAGTGGCCTCCCTGTGACAAGGGGAGGAACGAACTCTTGAGATGATGCTCTTACCTTTTATAGACAGTCAAAGAGTTGATGAGGAAAGGGAGCATGGGGCAAGTTCCTGCTGCTATCTGGCTAAGGTTATAGCTATTCTTAATAAAAGGGAGCTGTGCAGGGATAGGACCACCTGGAACTCTACCCAACTTCCTCAGGAGCAATTCTCTGTTGGTGTGGGGGAACAGAGCCAATCTCAAAACTCAGGCTGTTTTCTCCCTATCAAGGCTCCTCCCTCTGCCAGCTGCTAGAACGTGGCAACAGAGGAAGATTTCTGGTAGCCAGTGCAAATCAAGGAGGAAGGAAATCTTTATCTCTAACATTAGAAACCACAGTAAAATCTTCACTCACCTGGAACCACTGGTGGTTGAAGCTGGTAGCCTGTCAGCTCACACCACCCCACAGGATAAATGTCTGGAGACTCGCAGTCCACCCACTGGTCATACTCGTTGTCCCAGCCATCAAAATGGATGCTAAGGAGACGTTGGACTACACGCTTCACTGTGGCCACGCAGATGAGCCGGGGTTCCATCAGGTCCACTGCCTCCACCTTCATGCCTGCCTTGAAGCCATGGTTGGGACAGTCCTGGGTGCATAAAAATTAAAAAACTAAAAAGAAAAGCCAAGGCCATTGCACCCATATCTGGCCAACACCACACTCACACAGGCTGGCCTTTAGTCTAGAGCAAGCAGACAACAAGCCCATAGATCCAAAAACAGATCCAAGGCCAGCTGTGTCCTCAGTCAATTGCAGCCCAGCCTTTAGAAGCAAGATCCTGCTGTGGGGGGAGCAGCAGTTCAGGAACACAATCAAACAATTACCTGACATACCCCTGGGAAATCAGAAAGGTCAGCATAGGCCCAGGTTCTGCAGCAGTTTTGTTGATGTAAAGCATCCCCAACCTCCACCCAACATGCCAGCCACACATCCACAGGCAATGAGCAATGCAGAGCCCACCAGGAGCCTGGAGCTCACAGAAACACTAGAAAGATGACAGGTGACACTCAGAGGGACCCACAAAAGGCAGGACACTGATGTCCCAACTCGGACAGTACATACTCCTGGGCTTTTGAGGTCTCCCTAAAGTGCTGTCAGCAAACTGCAGCCCACTAGAGACTGCATATATTGTGTGTACTGCACATTGTCTGTCCTGACTTCAGGAAGACTTTTGACACTGCCATAAGAACCTCATAGAGAAGATGATTGAACTATACAGGCTCGGTGCAGATGCAGCAAGATAGACTGAAAACTGGCTGAGTGACTGGGCCAGGAGGATGGTTATTAGTGGCATGAAGTCTAGTTGGAGGCTAGTAAATAGCAGTGTACCCCATGGGTCAATACTGGATCCACTCCTATTGAACATATTAATAAATTATCCAGATGACATGTCAGAGTATCATGTCAAACCAAGCAAGCTTGCCTGTAGTAGAAAACTGGAAGGAGAGACAGAATATACTAGATGGTTGTGCTGCCCTCCAGAGGGGGCAGCACAAGCTTGAATCCCTTGACAAGCTGGAATCCCCTATCTGCAGAAGAAGAACCCCAGGCACCAGCACAAGCTAGGGGCAGACTGAGACTGACTGGAAAGCAGCGTGGCCAAAAAGGGCCTGGGAATCCCAGTGGACATGAAGTTGAACATGGGCCAGGGATGTGCCCTTGGGACAAAGAAGGCTAATGGTAAGCTGTTCTCAGCAGGTCAGCGGAAATGATCCTTCTCCTCTGCTCAGTACTGACAAGGCCACACCTCAATTGCTCCCTGGTACAAGGGAGACAGTGGAGAGAGTCCAGCAAAGGGCCAGGAAGATGATGAGGGAACTGGAGCATCTTTTGTATGCAGAAAGGCTGACAGAGCTGTGATTGTTCATCCTGGAGGAGAAAAGGCTCAGGGAGTACCTTATTTATGTGTTTAAATGCCTAAAATGAGGGTGCAAAGATGGAGCCTGATTCCTCTCAGTGGCTCCCAGTGCCTGGACCAGAGTTAACAGGCACAAACTGAAACACAGGAGTTTCCCTGTGAACGTCAGGAGACAAGTTCCACCATGAGTGCCAATGAGCACTGACACAGGTTGCCCACATGGTTGTGGAGTCTCCATCCATCTGGACACAGTCCTGAGCAACATGCTACAGGTGACCCTGCTGTAGCAGGGTTGTTGGACAAGAAGTCACTTCCATCTCTGTGATCTTGTGACAGCCAGAGCTATTGCACTCCTCCTTGCTTATTCCAAGCATCCCTACACATTGTTTCTTCCTGGCAGCACTCACTGTGTTGAAGAGCCGTGATGGAGCAGGTCTTGATTTGGTCTCTTCCAGGTAACGCTCCCAGTTGAATGTCTTTGCTTCATACCCTGCAGAAGGAAGAAACACTAAGAGGTAAAAAGGCAGTCACTGGGTAGACCAGCTGGGACAAAAGGCAGAGTAGGCAGGAAGGAGGCATAGCAACTGGTTGCAGAGCAGGTCAATGAACCTGCATGTACAGCCTGATCTTGGACATGAACCTAGTGCATGGATTCCATGGGAGTCCAGCAGCCCTCTCTGCAGGCAAATACAGAGAAAAGCAAGCTGCAGCTCTGAACATCTGTGTCAGCCACAGACCCAGAGAAAGGGGAGGACCAGCAGCAAGAAGGAAGTAGTATGTTCAAAACACACCACTGAGACCAATCTTTCTTTCTCCCATCAGCAGGAACATCAAATGAAGATGGAACAGCACTACACAAAAATGCTGCAACACAGAAATTCAGAGCAGGCCTTTTCAGGTATGGCTAGATGAGGCAGCAAAAACACTCCTAGAGTGATTGTCTCTTAGGAGTTTGAAGAAATACTCATGTCAGATCTATTCATACAGAAAAGAATAGAGATGACTGTGGACACTTAAGTACTGATTCCTGCCCCAATGGCTCTACTTATACCTTCCCATCCTCCTTATCCTTTAAAAGCTTTTATTCTGTTCAGTTTGGGGATCATACAACTCTGCCACTGATCTGCCAGGAGCTAACCAAGACTTGGTATATGGGCAAAGCTTAAACAGCCTGGCTCTCTGAACTAGCAGTCTCCCTGAAAAACAAGTGGATTGGAACCTTGTTTTGATTTATCTGAACCTGACCCCTCTCAGAAACGCACCCCCCATAAAATTCTGCATGCAGGTTTGTACCACAGGGCAGAGTCCAAATCTCACCTTTTGGAGGGGTCAGTTCAATGTTGTTCCTCTTACAGAAGTTGGCAGGGAAGATGGCGTGTGAGGAGGCGTGATAGCAGAACCAGTCAGAGCCATCATCAGATGTTGCTCCATCAATGCTGATCATGAGATACCCATCCAAGAGAACCTAAGATGGGAGTGAAGGCATATGAGTAGAGCTCTACTTGCTCTAAAGCCTCTCCTCCTCTCAAAGGATTCTCCCAAGAGTCCCCCCATATATCAATCACAATTGCCACTAGATAGTAAAATCCAATGTTATGTGCCCCAAGCTTCTCCTAATATGTTAGTCAACACAAGCTAATCCCCAAAGCAGCAAGTTCTGCAGGACTGGAACCAACACTAAGAGCCTTGTGAAAGGACTATGTGAAAAGCCTTAAACGGTCAGCTGTTTTGGTTCAAATTTATTTTATTGATTCCTTGTTAAGTGGTTTGTTCTGTTATACCCCCATGTTCTCCCCAAGTTAGTTTACCCCTCGGTTTTACCCTCCCTCAAAGCTGTCCCTCATGCCATTCCCCACCCCTTGTTCCAGCTCTTTCCCTGCCTGTCAAGGCAACCCAGCCCCTTTTGTTCCACTTTAACCTGGGGCCAATCCCTGACTGCAACACCCGTTTGGCATTCCCCAACTCCTCAAAGCCCCATTGGCCCATGTGACCCATCTTCTCCACCCTCCTACCACAATTGGCCCCAGACACTTGACGTGATCCCCTCGCTCCTCCCCTGAGGATTCCCTTTTGGTTAGCTGTTTGTATCCAGCTCCTGACTTGTATCTGTACAAAACTGCTTGCACAGCAGTGCCTGAGACTCTTTGTTTCTGATCCGTTTCCTTGGAATAAGTGCTTCCTTCAAGATGAAGAGCCTCCTCCTTTGTCCTCTGCCTGGTCCGTGCCATGGCTTGTGTCTGGCACCTTAGAACAAGTGGCTCTAAAGGTTCTGCCTCTGGTAAATCCCTGTACCGAGGCAGTTCCCACTCCGGGCGTGGCACTGGAGTTCTAAGAGCTAGCCCATGCTCCGTAAGTAACACGGCAGTCAGGAGCTCTGTTCTCCTCCAGAAACACTTCACTAGCAGCCCAAAAGCCCTCTCCACCAGCCAGATTATGAATTTGTTACTGGGTAGAAGGGAAGGAGCACCACCCTTGGATTTGCTACTTCATACAGCAACAAGACTTGCCCCTTCCTGTCACTCACTGGTAATTAGCGCCTACTAAAGGCGATAGGCGTGCCTGTCCCAAACTCGTCCATTTCCAAACCGTGGCTGAAGGGAACATTTTACAAGACACAAACAGCTCTCATAGCATCCCACTGCCAAACTCCCAAGTATTAAAGTCCTCAGTTTGGGTTCTGTGAGGGCAAACAGCTTCCTGAAGAAGCAGGAAAAGCCCAGATTAATGCTATACTTTCAACATTCAACACAGTTCACTGAGGAAACCTGGGCAAGGAACTTACTTCTTGACACTAGCAGAAGAGTAGAGCTTACAACCACCTTGTCAAGAGAGACTGAAGCTGACATGTCCATCCTCATGCCATTCTCCACATGGAGGTCACCTCACAACTCTTCCCTTCTTTCCACAGGGGCCTCTCTATGCACTCTCAGAACTGGAGAACAAATCTTCCCTACTGCATGCCCAATGGTGGAAAGAGCATGGTTGCCAGTCACACACCCTGGGCACTAGCCTGCAGACCAAGCATGCTCATCTTCATGCTGTCTGTTTAAATACACATGGATAACAACTTGTCAGAACTCTGAGGTAACCCCCCAGTTCCCTCCACACATCAGCTGTCCACCTCTCTTGACAGCCTTCTCTGCTCCTCCATACAAAATCTTACCCGGGCTTATTAATTTGAAAAGAGCTGAGGAGAAGCTGCATTATGCCAAGCAAACACAGCAGACCCCTTAGGCTCACTGAACTTACCTTGCAAACAGTGGCCACACAGATGTTGCCCAGATTCAAGGGGTCAATGGCTTCCAGTTTCATGCCTCGCTCAAACCATCCACCTTCAGAGTAGACAGCTCGTACCTAAGGGAGACTCTGGTATACCATGTGCTGCCAGGGGTGTGGGACAGTCCCATCCTGACACCGAGCACAGCAAGTACAAATAGGATTTGAAACTTCACTTGGTTCAGCTTGGGAGGGGAAACCAAAAATATTACAAGAAATACAAAGAGGCAGCCAAACCAACACTATGTTTGTGTCGGCAACCTTTTGCCATGGCTCTGGTCAGTCAGAGAGCCAAGCCCAACTGCTACTCCACAACAAAGCAAGCTTCCTTCTCATCTCAGTCCTTACCAGCATGATCCAGTTCCTTGTCAGAACTGGTCTCTCCCATGCAATCATCTTCCCTCTCCAACTCAAAGCTCCCTTGCTTGCCCTTTGATTGAGTGCCTCAATCTGTCACTGTCCTTTAATTCTTTCAGCTTTCTAGTTTGACTGCTCCTTCTTAACAACAGCCTTGACACCCCAAAGACCTTACTGCCCTTAGGTATAAGAAAGACCACCCTCAATAACCCACATGGCAGCATGTATGCCCAAGCAAGGAAGTGCTATCACTGCTTCCTTCTTTGTGACCCCCACAGGAAGGCAGACTTGTCTTACCTTCTTAAACAGATAGGGCACAGCATCACAGTAAATCTTCCTGAAGGTGGGATGGTTTGCCATGTCATTACGTTTTTCATCTGTGAGGAATGGAAGAAACACAGAGAGGTAAAAAACCTGCAGCAACTGCAGTAAGGAAACAGACTGGTTATTAATTTTCCTGTGAGAGCTTAGCTGCTATAAACCCCCTCAATATGAGACTATTCAATAAAAAGAACAGGTCAGTCCCTCTACACTTCTTATAAAATGGGCTGTGATGAAGGGCTTGTTCAAAAGCAGATGGCTCAGCTTCCTGAGGACTATTGATAACACATGCAGCTATAATCAGCAGGGAGAGGCAGGAATAGAGACACAACCAAAAGGATCAGCAGAGCTCAAGTCTTGCTTTTTTCTTTGTCTTTTTCTCTGGCAAAGTAAGCCAATCAACAATTCCTCTTGGTAAAGTTCAGAAAAACGCAACCTGATGGCATCCAGTGTTACAGAAGCCAGCATGAATTTCCTCAAAAAAGACGACAAACATCTGTCACGTTGCAAAGCCAGCATTCTCACACTAAGGGGACATCTGCTTCAGGTAAGAAACCCTACAGTCCCCTGTTGTGACCTGTGATCACAGGGCTTTTATCTATCCAGATAAAAAACCAGCAGACACAAAACTAAGCAGACTTCACCTGTTAGGTCTTAAGACAACTGCCTCACTCCCAGCATGTCAAGACTGGTGTCACCAGCAGGGTGCAGGCAGTTCCCAGCAAATCAGAAGATGACTGCAGTGGCTGATGGCTGATCCTTACCTGTCTTCTTTATGTCATGGCCGACTCTCCGTGACCAGCCCACAGGATGGATAAGGGGACTCCACATATGGCACCAGAAGTCATCATCACTGTCACCATCCTCATAGAGGAGTCTCAGTCTGCCCCCAATGACTGTGTCCACCACTGCCATACGTGTCTGGGACACGTGGTTCTTATCCACCACCTCGACCCGCATGCCCTGCCGGAACGGGTACTTCATGCTCTCTGCCATCTGGCAACAACCAACAGAGGAGGTGAGATCAAGCACAGTTCTCCAAACACTTCAGAGAACAGCTTTCCCCACTGACATACACCCTGGAACAGCCCAAAGCTGACTAGGAAGGGACAAGTAGCTGGCAGCCCCAGAAATGACAGTGTAGTTGGGCACACACGCTGGGTCTCCCTTTTGTCACGTAGACTCATAAGAGCTGCCCCACTCCAGCCCAGCAGCAACGCCCAGCCACCACCTTGTGTGAATGCTCTCAGTGAGAAGTTCTGTTCACAAGGGACTGAGTAAGGAATGGTGTGTGCCTGTTTCAGTCATGAAAGTTTTGAGGCTGCAATTAGTTAGAGGTGTAGTTTCCCAAAGTGCAAGAGGATTCAGTTGACTTCAAAAGAGGTCAGGTTCTTATTTTTACCTTTTTATTCTGATCAGAGGTTGAACTACATGATGATCTATCTCCCAACTCCATATCCAAAGCCAGTTACTCTGCAGACTGACCCAAAGGGACAGTGGAGTCACTGGCTGCTTTCTGACTTTTTTTGAGACCTTTGGTTTGCTCATACAGCCTTGTCCTACTCATCACAAATGCCCAGTGGTGTTTATAGAACCCCCGACATTTTGGAACTGTGATCCCAAGATGCCATGCAGCAACTAGGAAACACAAAATAAGATACCCAAACCAGCCTACACCTGAATCCAGAAGAACTTTTAAGTTAAAGTCTTCCTCTTCCACTTCCTGTTTATTAGGTGGGAGTGGAGATGCTAAAGGGAGAAAGACAAAAGCAATGTCTGTTTCCCTCCACCACTTCCCTTTCAGCTACAAGCTGGGGCCCAGGAACAAGCAGCTACAAACACCCTCCTAACTTTCTGAGAAGTAACATGAGAAGCACTAACTACATCCAGATCTCGAGCTCAGTGTCACCACTTACCTTGCACACAGAAAACCCTATCACTTGCCTTCCTGCCTGCTGTCTCTGGGACGGTCTTCCTTATCTGCCATTTGCAAAGCTCCTAGCCACAGGAGACCCTCTTCCGTCTAACAAGGTCTAATCTCAGCACAGGCTACACAAAAACAATCATGAGAGATATAGAGATGCCAAGGCCATGGCACTTAAAGGAAGCCTGTGCCCTTCTGTGGTGGTTTGACAGGAAATATGTTTTCTGGGATGCTGTGGTCAGGCCAATTAGGGCCCAGATTTTAATATTGGCACTTAATGTGGCCATTGGGACATTGGATCGGCCTCTGAGAACACGGGGTTAAAGCAGGGCTCTCCCCTGGGAGGCTCTCTTGGGTTCCGGTCAGTGAAGGGTTCAGGGCTCCCCTGCCCGGCTGCGGGCTGGGCGGGGCAGGGGCAGCCATGTGGCCGGGTAAGGTAGGCCGGGCCTGGACAGAAGGGAGGGGAAGGCCCCTGCAGGATGGAAGGGTGGAGGAGGAGCACTGAGAGGCATCGGGCAGCCACCACCCCCTCCCAGGAGAGACAGAGAGAGAGCCTGTGCCTGTGCTTGGCCGGCCAAGAAGGAGAAGAGGAGGGTGCGAGAAGGTGCCTGGCAGGGCCGCCGTGGGAGTTCTGGACAGACAGAGCCTCAGATTTTTAACTCTTTTCTTGGATGATGGAAACCTTACAAATGCTAATCCTCCTGGAGCTGAATGAGAAGAGAGATATAGAGGAGATAAGAGGAAATGGGCCACGAGAGAAATAGAGAAGAACTCAGGTGGAAGAGATGATGGAGTAGCTTATGCTGGACTCTTTTTGTGTGGCCATGGACACAGCCATGTTTCCTTGTGATACAGGGACTGCATTCTAGGGGGAGGCAATGCCTCAGGACCAAGAGGGTTTGGTGTGGGTACCCCTCGGCCCCAGGGGTGAAAAATATGGGGGGGACAGATGTCCCAAAGTTGAGACTGTGCCTTTTTGGAGTGGGACGAAGCATCCTTAAAAGTCGACCCTAGAAGCAGCTCTGGTCCGTGTTCAATGGTGAGAGCACTGGACATGAAAGGAAGAGGTCACCATTGGCACAAGAAGGACTCCTTCTCCTCTTGATGAACTGAGGATTGAATGTTCTGAAGGGTGGTGCTGGACCGAGAGTCGATGATTTGGGGGATGTATTGTATTGGGAATTTGGGGAGGAGGAGGAGATGTATTTGTGAAGTTTTCATTTTCCTTGTGTGTTTCTTTTTTTTTTTTTTTTTCCTTTCCCTTGTACTTTAGTTAATATTTTTTTTTCCTAAGTGGGAGCCTGCTTTGCTTATTCCTGGTCACATCTCACAGCAGAAACCAGGGAGAGAGTATTCTCATGGAGGCACTGGCATTGTGCCAGTGTCAAACCATGACACCTTCTCACTCCCTGCAGGCTGCTTTGCTACCAACACTGAAGGCAAAGTTTTTTGACTCTCAGAGCTATTCCCTGGCACTGAAACAGGGGAGGTAAAGGCCAGGTTGGAGCTGCACTGGACTCTCCCTTCAGACAAACCTCATCCCCAGTATTTCCCAGCAGATCATGTGACAACAGCTTTTAAAGCCTGCCTATGACCCAAAGCAGAAACTGTTGTGCTGAGAGGGCACGAAGGCTGTGCCATCCATTACCCACAGCATCATGACAAGTACCTGAGGAGCATGTGGAAGCACTCACTGCCCCTGCCCTGTCTAGGTTTCAAGGCACACAAAAGTTACATAGATCAGAACCAGAAGAGGCATGCTGAGCACATGTCTTGATTTCAGCTTCATTTCCCCCACGCAAAACAACAGCCTCCCATGGTTACCTTTATGTGGAAATCCACTGGGATGGTCCTAGCTCCCACCAGTTTTTTCATGAGGTAACTTCTCCAGTCAGTGTACTTGGCATGGATAGCTACATATGAGCAGGGAAAAAGTCCATCTTTATGACCAAAATAATTACAGCACCACACCTTTCATGTCTCTGACAGCCCATTAAGCAGCACTAAAAGGCCTTCTTCACACTCAGATTCTGTACTCTGTTTTGCCAGGTTGCCCTGACATCTGGCTGAAGGGATCACCATTACAGAATGAACTGGGCCAAGCAGACACTCAACTCCACTGATCTAGATGAGGAAGTAGTAACAGAGCAAAACACATGAGTCATACCAAGCAAATCTCAGCTTGCCAGAATTCCACTAAACTGGCATCCCTCTCTGAACTGCTAGCTGTGCAGGGACTGGAGTCACTGCACTTACCAGAGATGTTGCCCAGGATATAGGACCAAAAAGTTCCCCCAAAGTTCAAGTCCAGCCACCATGTGGATTAGAAGGAGGAAAAGCCACCTGCATTAGCCCCCACAGCTCTGACATCAGCTCTGCATGCAGCATCCCCAGGTCAATAATAGGGAGATGCAGAGGGAGCAATCTAAGCAGTCTCCACTTCCCAAACTCAAACTGCTGCTTGTAACTCAAAGCACAAATGGAGCTGCAGTGCTACATGCAGTGGGAACATCCATCCCTCTGTGCTAGGCATAAACCAAAGCTTCTCCATGCCCAGGGATATGGTGACCCCTCTTGCCCCATACTCACTTTGTGGTGGTACCAGGATTTTGCTGTTGATGGCACACCAGCCAATGGGGTGAATATCCACTGTGCCCAAATTGCACCAGAAGTCATGACCAGCATCATTCTCAAAGCCCTCATATCGCAGAAGGGCCCTGTATCCTGCCAGGACAGAGCAGACAAATAAAGGCATTAGAGGCCAAGAATTTGGCATCACAGGCTCAGTACCCACAGCATGGCCTTCAGTACTCTGCATAGGTCACCAGAGCTTCTCCAGCAACTATTCCTGCAAATTGACCAGCAACCAGAAGAGGAACCATGTGCTGGTTTCCTCTCACTGCCACACCATGGTATTTCCTGTTCCAAAATCTCTCAGCAGTTGTAGAGCTCCAAAGAGCTGCTGTTTTCCTTGACCAGCTACCCTCAGTTCTCTAAAGCTTCCCTCAGAGCTTAGCCATGCCCAGCTGTCAAAGATTACTTTGGAGACTTACCTACAATCTGGATGACAGATGCAATCCAGTACACACGACTGGGGAGCACAGCATCACTGTTCAGCACTTCCACTTTCATACCTTTCACCACATCATCCCACTGATCAAAGAGCGGCACCTGAAAGATGGAGGCAGCCATTGGGGCAGGGAGAGGGATGTGGAAATCAGAGCAGGATTTAGGCCCTTCTAGCTTTCAGAGACATGTCTTAGGCAGCTACACCTTCACCTTAGACATAGGCTTGCATGCCTTACCCCTCCTGGACTTGCCAACATCTTGAAATACAGTTGAACTGTCCCAGACATCTCAGTGGGATGTTTACTGAGGATCCCAAAAGGCAGAATACCATATAGCAATACTTAACTGTTTCACTGCCAGATGTCCTATTATTCCAAAGTAGCTGCTGCCATTCCTCTATGGCATAAAGATACCTAACAATGAGGATACCTAACATGTCTGCCTAACCTATCATCAAGAAAAAGGAAATGCTGTCAGTACTATCAGACAACAACTCAAAAGGAATATAACAAGTCTTATAAAAATTGGATATGTTGGAGGTGCAGCTACTGCCAGGCTCACATGAATTGAATTCCTCTCTGCATATCACCCTGGGCTATACTCAGCCATACAAACTGCAAAATTAGCTTCCCACTATCATCCCCAGTCAGAACTAATTCTGTTCCCAGTCAGCACTAAGTCATCACTACTGATGCCTGGAAAATAAAATACATCTTCCCAACAATGTTAGAGTCAATATAAAAGCAAACCTTTACTTGAAAGCTTTCAGGTACACAATATGGCAAAAATCACATGTGGTATAGTAAGTCTACAATTTTGATAAGATTAGTTGATTAGTATACTTATCATATACTGTCCAGGTAAAATGTTAGTTGGTTAGGTAATAATTCCTGGGGTTCTGACACACTGGAAGCAGTCCAGAGGTTTTGTTTGCCCCGCTTTTGTTATGTCTGATTCAGATTCTGGTTGGAAAACAGAATGTCCTTGTAGTTGGTTCTGTTCTTGGAATAAGACTACAATATTTCTGAATGTGTTAATTAGGTTAGCTTATTGTTCCTACATGTAGGGAAGAAAAATACTAGAAAGTACAGCCATGCTTTAGCAATCTATAAAGCTACAAATATATGAAAAACATAAAAAGCTAAAAATGATAGGCATCACTACCAGCAGTGTTTCTACCAAGTCCCGCTCTGCTTCCTTCCCCCAGAACTCCTGGACCCTTTGTGAGACTCCCATTCTCAGCTGCCAGAAACCCCAATTCCTTTCTTTGCATCACCAGGTCTCAATAACCCCCTGCTGGGCCTCTGCTCACCTCCTGTCACAGGAGCACAGGGGCCCATGCATAGGACATGCCCTGTGTGCCCTGCCATGCACAGCAAAGTAGAACTCACATGTTTGAAGCAGCTGACAGGAGCTGCCTTGTAGCCGTGCTCCTGCAGGTACTTTCCCCAGTCAAAGCCCAGGACGAGTGCTGCAAAGAGACATGAGAGCAGAAAATCAGATGAGACACAGAACAGGCAGAGATCAGTTACCTCTGAACTACAGCCTGCAGCCTCCAGGCACTAGGACACAACACACAGGGACTATGCATTCCACTGCATTGTCTCTGGTGGGAAACTAGACCCTATGTGAGTGCATGGTCACTAACACCCACAAGAGGCAAAATATATTAGTAATCAATATTTGCTGTCACTTGCTTTTGGGGGAGCAGAAAGGGCAATAAAAGGGGTCAAGTCCAGCCCAGAGCTAAAGCACTCCAGGGAGAGTGCATTCTTTCAGGGTTAAACCACTTCACATTTTGGTTTTCAGCAGCAACACTGCAGGGTCATACCGGCAGCAGAGGGTGCTGGGAAAATCAGAGATACTAACTTGAGAGATTAATCCCACAGTCCCTCCTGGTTGCAGACTCCAGCAGCAGTCTGCTCAGGGATCACTCCCTGCTGCTGCCATGCCCCAGCCCTCCCCTTTTCCTTAACACAGTAAGTTGCTGCTTCTTCAGCTGCAGTGACTGCTTATTGCTCAGAGTGATCACTGAGTGACTCAGGGCAAATATAACTCCCCATGAGCAGTGGGGCAGCAAATGGTTGGGGGAAGCAGGACACCTTTAAGTCACCTTTGCCAGCAGAAGTCAGCACCTCATGGGACTGGGACCACAGAGCTTACACTCCAGGTCAAGTCAGACAAGGAGTGAGGATGAGGCTACAGCAGTGGATGGGCAGGAAGAGGAAAAAAACCATGTCCTGTGTTCTGCCAGCTTGTGTGGAGCGATCCACACACATTGTACAAGGCAGTGCACCAGAGAAGAGGAGGAGGACTGCAGAGCTTACAGCCCTAAAGCTGTCCCCATTTCTGTGACTCCAGCAGCTGCACCTCCTCACACCTCACCTACACTCACCATCCTGACCTGTCAGTGTCCCATCTGCCAGCTGTCCTGTGCCCTGCGAATGGAGGAAGGCCCCGATTTTGGCTGACCAGGATGCCTTGTGCAGAACTTTAGCTTTCTTTGTTGGTGGTTTCCCCTACAAAAGAAGGAACATTAGAAACATTAATGGCACAGGAGACTAAGCCACCCCCTGCAACTGGGTATTCATTTCTTCCTTGGGACAATTTCCAGGCTACTACAATATTTATTAATGCTCACAGCTACAAGAAACAGCAGGTAAAATACCAGTGTGTCCTTTCTCAGCTATTAGGGAGCACCACCTTTAAGCTGTCATGCTTTCTCTGGGGACTTCAGGCAGGAAGAACAAACTGGGAAAATCAGTCCGATAGAGAGCAACCACCTAACATTACATACAGGCACATCCTGCTTCATCCCCAGGAAATCTCACAGAATTATAGACTCTCTCTGAAGAGCTGGAAGTCTGCCTTCCTAAAGTTCAGGAGCTTGACTTTACTCCTTAGCTGACCTATACTCCTCAAGACTGCAAATTCCACCAATGCATGACCATTGCAATTGGAGCCACTGCCTCCAGTCTTGGCATCCCCAATTAGTTCACTTACCTTGGTGACCATCAAATCTACTGTTGCATTCCCTCTGCTACAGCTGTCTATTCCCTGGCTTAAGAAATTATCCCCCATGCATTCCAGGAGTCTCCTGGATTACCTACAGATTGCCATGCTACTTTTTGCAGGTATAGGGGTGTTTGAAGTCCCCCAGCATGACAAGAGTGACAAGAGCCTGCGAGCACGATGGAGCCTGAGAGCCAGCTGGAAAGGTTTAAACGCACCTGCAGTCTGGCCAGGATGCTGGCCTTTTTGGAATTTGAGGAGTAGCTTCTGGAACAAGAGACGCTGCAGAAACGTTTGGTCTTGGAGAAGAAAGCCTCCCTGGTGCCCACAATCCCACACATTTCGCACACAGCTGCAAGAAGGAAGGCCAAAAACATGAGGATTTAGCAGAGTCAATTCACTACAATGACAGAGCTGAGACCAGCTAACCATCGTTATACAGAGCAGATCCCCCACACAGCCCAGAAAATGCAGTGTGAATCCAAAGCTGCTCCCAAAGCATTCCCAAGGTGCAGCCACACACCCTTCACTGCCCCTGAATGTTTCAGGCAGCACAGGCAGTACCTGGCTCGGAGCCACTGTCTTCTGTGAGCCGGCCTGTGGATGGCTGGTGCATGGGAGAGGCTGAGAGCTCTCCAGCTTCCCGCTCTGCCACCTCATCATCACTGGACTCCTCCAGACAGGAGCTGCTGTCACTGCCCATGCTGCTGTTGTAGCATGTGAGGCTGTCGTAACCCCCAAAGATGTCCAGTTCATCATCCTCCTCATCGTCATCACCTTCCTCTTCCACCCGCTCCAAAGATGAAGATTTGTGGCAGAAGGCAGACACCAGCTAGAAAAAGAGCCAGTTTGCTTTAAACCAGACATTTTACATGCCACTGCACAATAAACCTGCCTTTGCTGCTGAGGGAGGTCCTCTTGGGCCAGGGGGTGGCCTCAGGGCAGGCAAGGAATCCACATAACCCCAAAGGCAGGATTCTGAACACCCTCCTCCAGACAGGTCCCTTTACTGGTATTCCACATGCTGCATTCTGCTTCCCAAGAGCAAAGTGCCACGGGGCTGTTGCTAGATAGAAAGCAGCTTGAGGAACATGGAAAAATACAGGGCAAAGCACTGCCTTGCTGATGAAGGACAGGTGAGACAGATGTGTCCTTCTAGGCAATGTTCCCCCCAACACATTTGCACAGCACAGCAGTGCAGACACCGTCACAGTAAAGCCAGCACAGACTTCCAGAACAGAGCACAGGCTGCACGTTCCTGCCACCACAGCTCACAAGACCAGCACAGCCTGGAAGTCAGCAGGGCAGTCCTGGAGACAGCTCTGTCCTCTGGAAACTGCACAGCCCACAGCTGACCTTGGTTCAGAAACTACACCAGCAGGAGGCAGAACATTTGCTATTGGTTTTTGCCTAAAACCAGATGCCCCCACAGCTAAACATCTTCACTGTCTCTTTGTACTCGCTGTTACAGCAGGAGAGCTGCAAGGCAGAGACTGAAGAAAGAGCACAGAAAAAGTGTGTCTCAGACTAGAACGATCTTGAACCAGGCTCCAAATGAGCATAAAAGAAGCAGGGAAAATGTGGTAGCAACTCATGAAAGAGCAGTAAGAACTCAGCATCAGCACAGGAAGTGATGGAACAGAAAGGCAGACACAAACAGCTACATGAGGCAGGAGGATACCATTGTTCCTCCAAGTAGGCAGCAACTCAAGATCAGCAGCAAGCCCATCACCTTCCTTTGCTAAATTCCCTCTGATCCCTGGCTCCAACTATCATTACAGACACGTGGACAGGAAGATCAGACTTCACTCACTGCTGTCTCCCCGCATCCTCCCTGGCTTTCGCACAAAACAGACCCAAGGTTCCCAGGTTACTCCCTGAACAAAGAGTTGCTCTCCTGCGGATCTAGGCCCTCAGGCAGCATTCCTGACCTCTGAAAGGCCTGAACTCCTCTAAAAAAGAAAGATTTGCATCGCCTTCAAGTCCCTGTGTGGGTGCATTTTACAGCAGCTCGTAGGACGTGAGCACCATTGCACCGTTACTCTTCCACAACAGGTGAGTGAAACTTGCGGACACCTCACAATCCCCAGGGCTGCCAAGCAAGGGCAGCATCACCCGGAGCCTCCTCGGGAAGCTGAGGGCGACGCAGGGGCCCATCCCGCCGGGATCAGACGGACCCACCGCCACCCCCAGGAACACTCCAGCCCGGGCCCCAGAGGAGCCCCCGTCCCGTCCCGCTCACCTCTGCCCGGTCCCGCTCCATTGCTCCCGGGACGCCGCCAGCCCGCCTCATGCGCGTGCAGAGCGTCCCCCGTGAGCTGTGCGTCTGATTGGCGAGAGCAGCGGAAAGCATAGCCAATCAGCGGGGAGTTTGTTCCCGTCGCGCTGCCCGCGGGGCACGACGGGAGCTGTAGTTCCTTTCCCGCAGCCATGGCGCCTCGTGGCGGGCCTGCCCAGGAACAGGCTGGGCCCCGGTGCCGTCTCCCGACTCCTGCTTGTGGTTCGGGATTAGCCCACTCGGTCCCAGAATGGCTCGGATTGGACGGTACCCTAAAGATCATCCAATTCGAACCCTCTGCGGAAGGCAGGGTCATTTTTCACTAGAGCAGGTTGCCCAGAGCCCCATCGAGCCTGGCCTTGAACACTGCCTGGGATGGGACATCCACAGTTTCTCTATGCAGCCTATGCCAGTGCCTCACCGCCCTTACAGTAAAGAATTTCTTCCTGTGTCTTATCTCAATCTGCCCTCCTTCAGTCTAAAACCACTACCCCTTGTTCTGTCACTACCTGCTCGTATAAAAAGTCAATTTTCCTCCTTTTTATAATCCCCCTCTGGGTACTGGAAGGCTGCAGTGAGGTCTCTCCAGAGCCTTCTCTTCTCCAGGCTGAACAACCCCAGCTCTATCAGCCTGTCAAGAAGCTTATGTAAAGGTAAGCCCCTGGAGGCAGTTCTATTTTTCACCCTTTTATTGTGTTGTCACTGTCACTGTGTTGACGTTGTAGGAGAAAAAATACATATATAAAGAAAAAACGGCTGTACTGAGCATTCCTAGTCTGTATGGGCTTTGTAGTGAGTGGCTGAACAAATAATGTGTGAAGCACAACTGTACAGTCTTAGCTGCAGGTGGGAGTAAAGCAGTATGAAAAAGGTTCATTCCAAAGGCTCACCTTATACATGGATTGCTCTTCCAGACAATCCAAGGGCTCTAACATGAGGCTACAGCCTGTTATAAACACAAAGGAGTGTCACTATCCATATGAAACACGCTGAGAATCCAGGGTGGTGGTCACAGCCTAATTACAGGGGGACAGTGTTGGGGAGCTGGCAAAGCCAGTCTGCAGCTTGATCAGCAAATTTCCATAGCATCAGGGATCCTCCACATTCAGGTTTTCCAAACAGTCCTCCAGCAATGTTAAAAATATAAAATTGCTTTAAAATAATATAGTTAATAATGAAATAAATAATAATGACTGTTATTCCCTAGTAAATACTGCTGGACATTGCACGGCATGGCAGACAACAAAGCTGTTTCCAGAAAAGCCACAATCCAAAATTAAAGGCTCATTAAGTCTTTCTACTGCAATAATCTTTCATGGAACACGTTGTGATCTTTAACTGGTGTGCATCCCCTCCTTGCTCCCTTCCCAGGGTGGAACAAGCAGCACTGCTCCCTTAGGTCACACACAGGCTGGCTCAAGGCTTCTTGAAGGCTTCAGTAGAAACGAGTCCTGTGCTGACACAGAACAAGCTTAAAAGGCAGGCCCCACACCACAGCTGTTCATTTTTCATTGCAGTTCTAAATAAGCCTTTTCAATAAATAATAGTATTTAAATGTAGTATTTAAATGAATCAATTTTAATGTGAATCAAGTTCAGCTTGATTGAGGAATACTTATATTCTTTTCAATAATAAAAACTCTGTTATGTAACAATAATCATAATAGTTCTGTAAAGCCAAATCCTTTCTTTAAGGAGAGAACAGCACTGACAATCTCAGGTAACTAAAACCCAACACTTAAAATTAGACTTCACTTTTCCCATCTCCTTCCCTAGTGCTGTTCTGGGCTTGGTCTGTGTTTTAACATAATCTGCAATAAAAATTTTAGCAAGATCAGTATCAAAGGGCTGCTCTCAGGTGCAATGACAGAAGGAGCCCTGGCTGCAGTGGGAGGATTATTGCTGTAGGACAGGGGCCAGGCTGCTTCCTCAGGCACTCAGCTCCAAGGTGTGCAGCTCTTGTACTTCAGCATCTGCTCTGTCCCTCAGTACCACAACTTCTTGGAGGAGCCTTGTCTCACTGGCTCTTTGTGCTTGTACTGGGACTGTCCTCTCCCCCATGCTCTGGGATGCAGAGCTCATGTTCCATGTCCCCAGGCTTCATAAATTCATCTGCTGCTTCTCCAGAGCCTCCTTTTTCAGTTTTCTACTCTTATTTCAAAGAGCTCCTGAGAATCCTGGTGCTACAGGGGCCTTTTTTCACTTCCAGCACTAAGTGGCAGCCATTTGGTTACAGGCCTTCCAAATTCTTGTGTGCAGTGGGAAGTGGCATTCATAAGGCTCCTCCTAGCTGGCACTGTGAAAAACCAAAAGACTTTGAAGGGTTTAATTTTTGTCATGAGCACTGGGAAGGGAACCATTTTGAAGAAAAAGTATTTATAGACCTGTAAGCCTTGGCTATACAATCATGGTACTGTCTTTGAAAAAGGAAAATAGGGGAGATGAGCTTGGAAAACCAACAAGGAAACAGATGGAATAATAGAAGAAAACATACTCTGCTTAACCTTTGGCAGAATAATTTTGCCAAGGTAACTATGAAATGAAGAGAGGTGTGTCCTGCACTATGTAAGAACAGGCAACAGCCTACTTGCAGGTGGGAGATTTGAGCAGTTGCTGTTTTCTAGATCTCTTTCATGGGCCGAGGAGCTTGCAGAAAACCTTTGTCAGATCATCCTTAATGCTACACTAAAGTTCTTTCCACATTTACAGCCACTTGTCACTGTGACAGTAATTGAACAGTTTGTATAGTGAACAGATAATCCAACCCCAGACCCCACAGGTGATCCAGTTAAGGGCACAAATACTAAGTTAGCCTGTCCTTCCTTGCTATTTTACTACCACATTAAATCTGTCAATATATGTCAACACAACTCTACATACAAATACAAATGAAACAGTAAATAATTTTTGTATAAATTTAAAAAACTCAAACAAACAAACAAGCAAACAAAAACCCCCAAACCAAAACAAAACCCCAAAAAGCAGCTACAGCCAATTCCAAGGCAATCCTGACAAGGAAAGGGAAGAGTTAACTGCCTAGGAGATAAATCTCAGTTTGAAGTGCTTATCCCATCCCAGACCCCCAGGAAACCTGGCTTTTGAGAGCTGAGCTGTGCTGCCTCTCAATCCCTCTGCAAGCTTTTCAAGGAAGACATGGGGCACCACCATGTCCTGCCAGGTCACCTTCCCCAGCAGAAAGGGCAGCCTGGAGCAGTAAGTCCAGCTAATGGTAGAAGATGTCACACCATCCACAAGGCCTGACACATAATATGCAGTTTACCAAGGTGGAAATCTCTTTACATATCCTTTCCCAAGTCACAGTTAAGGGCTCTCTCTCACTCTTTGTGGTGACACAGGAGAACTGGGCCCACCTGACGGAACAAAAGGCTTGAAATCCTTCAATACAAGCTCAAACTGAGATAACAGCAGGCAAACAGAAGAGCACTTGAGGTCTTCCCCCCCACCACCACCTTTCTTTTTTTTTTTTTTTTTTTTTTTTTTTTTTTTTTTTTTTTAAACTCATGAGTTTGAAGTTCTGACTTCTGGTGGCTGTAACTCAAGCTGTGTGGTTACAAGCCCTGGCAGCGTGGGTGGCAGTAGATACAGGTCACACCTCAGGCTGCCCTGGCTTTCCATCAGCAGGCCTGGTGAGATATCCACTGTATGGCTCCCAAAGTTTTGGTCACCACAACATTGTACTGGGAGCTCTTTTCAGTGCCATACTGCTGTGGGACAGCAGAGACAATGAAAAGCAAAAGTGAAGAGGAAACAGAATGAAAGACTCCTTGATTTTCAGGGCAGCAGAAGCTCTGCACTTTCAGCCAAAGGATCAGGGTTGACAAAGAGCTTTCTTCTGGTAATGACCTTTCAATTCCTGCTATTGCCCTGGGGACTGCAGGGACACGAGGAGAAGCAAAATACCCACTGCCAGTGCTTGTGATTGCATCCCACATAGCTCTGTGCTCCCAAGATATGCCAGAGCCTGCCACCAGCCAGCACACCTGGGGAAAACCACAGCCTGAGCTGGGCCAACTTCACCAGGAGCAAGGAAGAGCTTTAAAGATGACTGAGGGAGATGGTGCCAACAGTAATTTCTCCACCTCCCCAAATCTACCACATTCCTGACAACAGAGAGAGTAGACTGGAGCCATGGCTGATTGCCCATCAGCTACTCACAGCAGCAGTCACAGGACAGGTTTCCCTTCCAAACACCCAATATCCCTTCCTGGGGAGTTGAAACCAAGACCCTGTTCTAAGGGAGTGTAACTGAAGCAACTTGAGCAAACCAAAATGCCAGAGCACAGTCAGGTAGGCAAATGCTGATGCACATGCAACACCTGCAAGGCTGACAGAGCAGATCAGTAGCTCTCCAGCCATGAAGCAAGCACAGATGCTGCTGCAATCCCTGTGGATGGAACGTGTTGTGCTTTTACACTTTCAGGGACCAGGCTAGGCTGTGTCTCAGGCTGGGATCTATGGCACACAATCTGCTTTGACAAGCTGAGGGAAGAAATGGCTCCTTGGGCAAGCTGGCAGATACCCCAGCATTGTATTGTAGGAAGGCAGCTGCTGAGAGGGTTTGTAAAAATAAACATTCACCAGACAGAGCACCCTGTGGTTGGTCTTCAAATAAAAGCTCCTTTTTAGGGTAGAAAGCATCACACACCTAGGCAGAACTGGTCATAGGAGCAGACTCTTCAGACTGCTACTGTCTTTCACTACAGGATCTGTTCCAGAGTGCCCAGAGAGGATGGGCTGGAGTCCTTGAGTTTGGCTGAAACTGGAAGCAGCAAAAAGACCATCTTGGAAACAGGAAGTGGAGTTTCTTGCAGAGAAATTGTGTATCATATACTGGAAAAATGACACAAAAGCTGGAATGGCTGTCACTGTCACATCATCTACCTCAGCCTTGTTATGGTGCTGCCACTGCCAGTAAGAGTCCACAAGCTCTGCTTTATGTGAGGTTCTGTCAGGCTTTGCCTGGGCTTGTCTTGGCCTGCCAGGAGCTGCTGTAGC